TCAGTTCCATCTGGCTTGTGTTTTTGTGCTCAGCCGGGTTGCAGGATCGCAAGCCGGCGTGCACTGACAGCGACCCGCGAAAGCGCCCAGCAGGAAGGCGGCAGGTGAAAACAGCAGCGGGCAGGAGCGGAGCCAAGGCTCACGCGGCCCCCGCCGTCCAGCCTGCAGCAGGCTCACCTCAGGCACCTGCAACTAATCCGAAACATCTTTTGGTCCCAATAAGAACATAACCAGAAATAACCTTTTCTGCCCATTAAAAACAAAAACTAAGAAAAAAAAATCATATGAATGTATCACATAAGCTATAGGACAAGGAAACGAGACCAGAAACAACAAATGGCCTTCCTTCTCCACGTGGTGCTGTGTGTCCCAAGGAAACAGGAACAGGCAGAGCAGTAGAGAGGAAAGGCCCCACACGACTCCTGGTCTAGCCGTAAGAATGGAGCCTTCTTCAGACCCACCATCAGGGGTTCCCACCGTGGGCTCAGGGGTCCCTCCAGGGTTGCTGAGGGCCTCTCCATTCAGCCCCTCCTTGAGGGCAGCCTCTGGGACCACAACAGCCGTGGATGCCACCTGACTCTTGCTGGACGAGGACGTCTCTGAAGAGGGCCCGATGGAAGGCGGGGTCCAGCGCGGCACAAAGGTGATGCCCTCTTCTTCAAGCTGACGAAGGTAGTACTCAATGATTTCCTTCCCCTTAGGAGGAGACCAAGGTTAAGGTGAGTGCAGAGTCAATACTTCAATTATTTGTCCCTTACCAATTTGTGAGGTAACTACCAAAAACTGAGGGCTGAGATATAGCTTGGAGGTAGCATGCCCAAAACTAATCTAGAACACTGATCTATCAGACACACTTGTACTGAACACAATTCTAACACAGTATCCAAAAACACAACCACCTTCGAGAGCCCCCCCACCCCCCACCACAGCTTTAAAACCACGACCCAAGCTCCCAGAGAGTGAGTGGCAGCACCTGAGGAGGTCCACGGAGCCCTGCCTGGCCACCTGCCAAGAATCCCCTCAACCCAAAGAACTTTCCATCAGCAGACCCACAGTGGAACCCAGGGGTGCGACCACCTCACCCTAACTTCCCATGTTCCCACAATTCCAAGCAGAGAATGTGGTGGCCAGGAGTGACCCGCCTGTACCTCCTTCACTCCACCAGGAGCCAGCACCGCCAGCCCGTGGGGCTAAACAGAAGGCCCAGGGCAGGGTGGAAGCACATTTCTACCCCCGAGTGACCCGCTCCCGGCCTTCCAGAGGACTAGCTCAGACACCTCAGGAGACTGCTGCCCTCCCTTTCCCATGAAGTCCCAGAGACTCACTTTTTTAATGTTGCTGGTATACTGTTTCATGGCAATTTTTTCCACTGTACTTTCAAAACCAAAGAAAGATTTGATATCTAAACTCGCAGACTGTTCAAAACAGGTCCAGTCTTCGTTCTCTGGGTGAACCTGCGGGTGAAGAGAAGGCCTGCTGTGTGCGGCAGCGAGGCCTGGTCTGCTCCCCTCTGCCAGCGACCAGAAGGAGCAGTTCTCTTACAACAGAGCTACTCCCATGGAGACAGCACAAGGAGGGTTACAGAGGGCTGGACCGCCCAGGGCCACTCGAACTCCAAGGCCACTTGGAGTGGCCTGAGAGGAGCGCTCCGTCCTCCCCTGCCCAGTCCCTCACCTCCCTACACACAGACTCTCTCCCATTAGGAATGAAGGAAAGACCCTTCCGTGTCACTGACAGCCTCACGAGGAGACAGACGGCCGGCCACGAGCCTTGGACAGAAAGGTGAGGAACTTCCAACTGCTGGAAGACCAGGGCCATGGGGAAAGCGTGGAGCGGGTTAAGGGGACCAGGGAGGGCTGCAGGCCGCGCTGTCGACTGGCCACTGGGAACAGGGATCTGGGATCTGGGCAAACCTGAAGGAGGGCTGGGGAAGTCCTCGGGAGGCTGGGGAGCAGCAAGCGTGCTGGCAGCCATGTACAAGGACAGAGGGACCCAAGACACGTGAATGAGGGGGAACCGGCCCTCCTAGGCCACGGCAAGCACTCGTGCTTTTCTCTGAGGGTCATGTGGAAGTACTGGGTTGTGAGCTCAGTGATAAAACTTGACAATCCTAAAACAGATCACTGTGGGTTCAGCATTAAGGTTACACTGGAGGTGGCTAAGGTGGCAGCAGACACACCACGCAGGAGGCCACTCTAATGACCTAGTGAGAGCAGCTCTCAAAGCAGGGTGGTCGGCAGTGAAGGTGACAGCCGACGTGTGCTCCCAGCTCTAATCTCAAACACACACACCATCTTGCTCTTCAGAATGCATTTCTCAAGTAGCAGAGCATGGCAGTGGAATGACTTGGCTATGACTGCCACCACAGTGCAATCCTGCCTTCAGGAAGCCACACCTGATCCCCTTCAGAACTGCTAACAGGAAATATATGGCAAAGAACTACCCCAGGACAAAGAGGCACGCCGTTCCAGCGATGGCTGACCACCTTTGGAAGCCGTGCCCCTGGGCCTCCCAGCTGGCGAGCTCCGCCCAGGGTTGTGCACTCACGGTGTAGCAGCAGTGCTCGTTAATGATGACCCGATTGGAAAACGTTTCATTATGGGCCTCAATGTGCAGAGTGCGCTCCCGAGAATTGAGAGAGTTTTTCTGGACAAAATAAACATAATCAACTCCTGCAATCTTTAAAAAAGAAATAAAGAGAAAAGGGTTTATTATTAACACCACTGTGACAGAAGCTGGAAACATAAATTCTCTATCTCTGGGACCAACGCCTTCCGGCAGGCCTGGGCACTTACCTTCTTCAACAGCCGGGGTGCGTCTATGTCCAGCTTGCAGCGCCTTTCAATGACGTGAATGGCCCCGTCTTCGCTCTTGAATTCATTCACAGTGTCACTGTCCACAAACATGGGAATCAGCGGACAGGTAGGGAACCTCCTTTCATAGGCCTATGGATAAAAACAAACCAAAAAAAAGGGAGAGGAAGTGAATGAAGTCCCATCTTCAGTCTCTCCTTGCCCGAAAGGGAAGGAGTGCTCAACCTCAGCACGTGCCCACAGAAGGTGCCACAGCTGGGCTGGTCACCTGCAGCTTTCACTAACCTGGAAAAGACGTCCGCAGTCTGGTGAGATGTCGATTCTGTCCACATAGATACAGGCTAAACATGATTTCTACCAAAATTCTAGCAAATATACTTTGGAGCCTCAGGTAAGATTATTTTACAACTTACATGGAAAAGCGAAGGAACTAGAGTACATGCTTAGTAAGCTAAAATGATTACTGGAAAATGAATGAACTGGAGGGACTCCGGCCCCGGGTCTTTAGGCTTACATGTAGCTGTGATTACACAGCAGTTACATAGTATTGATGGACAGACACACAGCTCCATGGGACAGAACCCAGAACTAGACTCAAACAAATATACACAAATGATGTTTCCCTTTTTCTTTTTCTTTTTGTGGTGCTGGGGATGGAACCCACGGCCCTGCGCATGCTAATCATGCACAAAACCTTGACTTAAACCTTGACCTAAACCTCACATCTTATGTACAAATTAACCCAAAATAGGACTGCTCATCTAGCATGCTGAAAGCCTTGGTTATGATCCCAGCACTGCAAAAACAGAAGACAAATGAACAGAAACCAAGATAAACCATAGACTTAAGCAAAACATAAAACTATGCACCCAAAATCAATCTGTAAAAGGAAAAATTTACTTCATCAAAATCAAAGACTTTTGCTTTCCTACAGTCCCTGGTTAAGAGGAAGATAAAACAAGTCACAGACAGAAACTACTCACAGTCCACGTTCTCTGGAAAAGAGAACACACAGAACACACAGAACCCAACTAACGCAGTGAGCTGCACAGCAACGCGCACAGTCAGCACCGCTTACCCGAGAATGGCCGGGGCAACCTGCAAGGTCCTGCTCAGAGGCAGGAAGGGGGTTAAGATGATAATTTTTAAAAACTCAACAGTTAGAAAATAAGCCACAGACATCTCACCAAAGAGCACACATACAGGTAAAGAGATGGTCAATCGAGCAATGAGCTATCACAGAAACTCATACTGAAGCCACAGGAGGTCTCGCCACAGATCTACCAGAATGACAAAACACAGCCCACCACGTGCTGGTAAGATGTGGAGAGACAGCTCCCAGACACTGCCGGCAAGAATGAAAAATGGTGTCACCAGGAAACAGCTGGGTACTTTCTTAGCACCAAACAGGCAGCTGCCACACAGCCGGGGCCAGCACCACCCTCCTGGGCATCTGTCCCAGAGGAACAAAGGCCACGTGCACAGACCCTCCAGGCAGCTGGACTCCCAACAACCCAACCTACAATCAACCCAGGGTCCTCCACCGAGTAAATACTGGGCAACCTACAACCACAGCCCACTGCTGGCCATGGAAAGGGCTGAGCCACTGTCCACGCAATGACCTAGACGATCCCCAGGAAACTACGCTGGGCAAGGACAGTTCCATGCTGCGGTCCCATTCACTAACACTCCTGGAAAGACAAAATTAAAGAGACCGGGATCAGACTTTCAGTTGCCAGGGTTCAGAAGAGATGTAGGTGTGGCTGCAGGACGTCAGCACCCTGACCACAATGCTGTATTCCTATATTCCCAAGATGTCGCCACAGGGGACATGGGTGAAGACTGGGCAGGATTCTTCCATGTTATTTTTTGTGACAATATACTATTAATATACTGTGATTTACAAGTATCTCAAAATAAAATGTAAGACTTGCTACATAATTTGGGACGACATTTGGAAAATGCACTGAACCAGCAGATTTAGTTTACTCCGCAGCAATCTACAAAGATCCCTGAGCTAGAGACACTGCTGGGAAGCACAGCTAACCCAGGTGTCCCAGCCCAGGTACATGGCACAGATGCCACAGGATGCAGGGAGCAGTCTAGCCATAGATGGCCCAGGATCTCCTCTGCTGTCCCCACCCATGAAGGAGGAAAAGCAGGGTAATGATGGTGTCCAGGTGACAGATGCCATTCCTCTGTGAGACTGGACTAAAAATGGGAGGATAGGTTCTGTGACTTCCCATCTTAAATTCATCACAACCTAAACCAAACTTTAGGAAGACATCTATGGAGTGAGTTCATGAGAAAATGGCACAAATGGCTCGATTCTACCTCTGACAGGTGCAAGCAGTCCAAAGCTCTGTCCAGCAAGGAGCCATGGCCTTCCGTGCACGAGCTCCTGCTCACCCACAGCAGGCCTGCTCACCTGAGCAGCAAGCAAAATGCAGACCACGGCACTGCCACGAGGCTCCAGAGGGCATGGGGGAGCACAGGAGCCCCCGCTGCAGTTCCTTGCAGAGTTGCCCTCACTTCCAGATGAGTCCCACTTGCTCGCCTTATGTGACCAAGTAACTGGCTTATAATTATAAGGTCCACCAGACTAGGCAGCAGAGGGGAGCGAGGGAGGCAGCTGACACCAAGAACTCGGGGGCGGAAGGCGAGAGTGTCTTGAAGATGCACAGGTTCCACTGAGGTGGAAGGAGGGGAGAACAGAACTCGGCAGACAGAGGTTAGTGGGGAAAGCAGCAGCTCAGGCCTCGAGCCCCCAGAGCTGTCACATCAGCAATGACAGCATGTCCAAGAAAGAGAACACAGAAGCACAAAGAAGCTCCCGGCAGGCAGGGACCACACCCCAAAGGCAGGAGGGAAAGCCAGGGTCACCAACAGGGACACTGACACACAAGGCCTCCTGGGCCTCTCCTTCTCTTCAGGGGACAGGGAGGAAGGAAGACTGAAGTGATAAGAGTCACAGCGGGACAGCCTGGAAGGGAGGCAAGACCCACGTGGGTGACTGAGTACATGTGCCTGTTGGATGTCCTTCCTTTGAGAGTGGAAAACACACTCTTCATGTTATTGCCCTGACCTCCTCCTCCACTCAACAACGTCTCCTCAGCTCCACTAGGGCCAGGACCCTGACAAAGTGTCGGGCTCTCTGCCTCTTTCCATAAACACCTGAGAGGCGTCTCGCTGCTGACCTTGGATAAGCCTCAGGAGGCCCTGGGAATGTGTGAGCATTAAGTACTGAACAAATGAGCAATTCTAGTAAGAAAACCTGAAATCACTGACTTCATTTGTTCCATATTAACACTGATAACCACCTAAACAGATTTTTAAATTATACACTTAAAATCAAAAACAAAAACCCCTAGCTTTGTACATTACAGCACTATAACACCAAGAATTTAAGTGCACAAGTCTTCGAACAAAAAAAAGTACTCATTCTCTCTCAGTAGAGGACCTGAATTAGAAGATTTTCTAAATACCCCCAGTATATTTAAGTTCTTGAAATGGAGTCAACATGAGACATTACCCACAGGACCAAGCTGAAACTTAAAAAACCCTCCCCTCCCTAGGGCACCGTGGCCTCCAGGCTCCCACTGGCAGAGACCCGCCCGCCGCCTAGGGATGAACCAGACAAGGTTCAAGGCCTGCACCTCCCGCCTCTCTCTAGAGCTGCCTCAGGATAGACAGTACCTTCCCTTCTCCAAGTCCCAGCACTCTGCCACCAAATGCCTTCCTTGCTGGCCACAGGCAAAGACCAAGTCCCACTTTTCTTTTGGCCCTGAGAAAGAAAAACACCTCAAAGTTCTTTGTTCAATATTTTTGAATCATGGAATAAAAATGTTAGCTAAGTAGCCTAAGGAGTCTCGCTCTCCCTGGCCCGTGTTTAGAGATACCTAAGGCCAAAGGATTCTACATAATGTGAGCCAAGAAAACCTAGCTTCCGAGAGGATTATGGGAAAGCAAAGCTGAGAAAAGTCGATATAACTTTAGTCTCTGGAATTTTTCAAACTCCAACCCCTCGTTTTCACCTACCTCTACAAAGTATATAAGAAACTCCTGGAAAAAAAAAAAAAAAACAGAAGCAGTCTAGTTTTATTTTAAAATGACATCCTAAGCCAGTCATGGTGGCACATAACTGTAATCCTAGCAAATCAGGAAGCTGAGGCAGGAGGATTGGGAGGATGAAAGCTCAAGGCTAGCCTCAGTAACCCTTAAGAAACTTAGCAAGACCCTGTGTCAAAAGGGGTGGGGGGAACTGCACGGTGACACAAGCCTGTAATCCCAGCACTCTAGAGGCTGAGGCAGGAGGATCATGAGTTCAAAGCCAGCCTCAGCAAAAGTAAGGCACTAGGCTACTCCTAGTGAGGGATGGGGATGTGGCTCAGTGGTCAGGTGCCCCCGAGTTCAATCCCCAGTTCCAAAACTACAATACCACCACCACCATGTCCCAGCTCTGTCCACTGGAAAGGCCTGAAAGCAATGCCCTCAGCAGCACTGATCTAACCTGGCATCCAGATCTTAATTTGTAAATACATTCCCCACTAAGAAGGAACCTATGCTTTTGGAGAAGTGGTAGCAAGAACAAGGCTAGGTGACTGTGAAGCACTTCCCACCCAAGAGGAATAACTGGCAGGACTATGTACGTCTGAAGGACACAGGAACCAGCCTGCAGGGGTTTCACCCTGCAACTCTGGGTTAATGTGAGCACCAGAAAGAAAAAAGATGGCAGGGCAGTATAAACCATGGAGTGCAACTAAGAAAAATGGTCAGGGTAAGAAATTTTACAGAAAAAAATGTTATCTAATAAATACAGAGGAATGTTGTGATCGGGAAATCATCAATGCTTCGTGTGGGTAACCCCAGTGACTCAGGAGGCTAAAGCAGGAGGATTACAAGTTCAGGGCCAGCCTCTGCAACTTAGTGAGGCCCGAAGCAACCTAGTAAGACTCTGTCTCAAAATAAAAAAATAAAAAATAAAATATAAAATGGGCTGGAGATGTAGTTCAGTGGTAGAACATCCCTGGATTGATCTCCAGTACCACAAAACAGACAGAAAATAAATTTTACTCTATCAATGTTAAATTCCTTAGGTGGGATATTGACCATTCTTATATGGGAAAATAGCT